GGAGGGTGCGGGAGGGGCGGGAGACACCGGAGACGAGCGAGCGGACGATAGGGAGGCCAGAGCGAGCGCGAGCTCGGACGCTTCGAGCGCGCCAGTCGCTGCCTCTCCCGCACACTCCAACGCAGCGGCCCTAATGCACATGCAACAACCCCCCAGTCACCTACCGCCACCCACCAACCTCCTCCACCACCCGCCGGCGCCCGCGCCAACACGCGCCCCCTAAACAGGGCACGCAGCGCGTCCGCGGCTCCCGGCCCTCGCGCGTGCCTGGCCGGCCGCTCCAGACCCACAGGCCCCGCCATTACCGGGGAAGCAACAGGTATGACTCTCCAGCTTTTCTCTCTTTGTCTGTCTGTCTCCGTTCTCTTTCTCTTTGGTCTCCTTCTTTATCTATTTGTGTTTCTCCTTCGTATGTGTAGCCAGAAGGTCTCTTTCTCTCTCTTTCTCCTTCTACATCGCCATCTCCCTCTTCTCCTTCTCTCTCCCTCCTTCTCCTCCTCTCCTCTCCCTCTCAATACACTCTTTCCTTCCCCCTCCCTCTCTTCTTCTTCTTCTTCTTCTTCTTCTTCTTCTACTTCTCTTCTTCTTCTTCTTCTTCTTCTTCTTCTCTCTCCTCCTCCTCTGCCTCTCCTCTTCCTCCTCTTCCTGCTACTCCTGCCGCTTCCTCTTGTACCTCTTCCTCCTCCTCTTTTCCTCCTCCTTCTGCTCCTCCTCCTCCTCCTCCTCCCTCCTCCTCTTCCTCCGCTTCCCTCCTCCTCCTACACCTCCTCCTCCTCCTCTTTCCCTCTTGCTTTCGTCCTCTTCCTCCTCCTCCGCCCCTTCCCCCCCTCCCCCCTCCCCCCTATGTGGGTCACCCTCCTTGAAGACAAACAGACTAACCGATCCTTCCTGAGAGCACATAGCAAGGCTTTCTGTGTCTCTCTCTCTTCCTCCATCTCTTCACCTCTGTGCCCATTTACCTCTTTATTCCACCTATTTACCCATCATACTGAGGTCTCTATATTTTTTTTTCTTTCGAGTATTCTCCCTCTCCCTCTCCTTCTCCTTCTCCTTCTCCTTCTCCCTCTCCTTCTCCCTCTCCCTCCCCTCTTCCGCTCCCTCCTATCTCCCTCTCCCTCTCCTCTCCCTCCCCTTCTCCCTCTCCTTCTCCCTCTCCCTCTCCTTCTCCTTCTCCCTCTCCTCTCTCCCTCTCCTTCTCCCTCTCCCTCTCCTTCTCCCTCTCCTTCTCTCCTCTCCCTCTCCCTCTCCTTCTCCTTCTCCCTCTCCCTCTCCCTCTCCTTCTCCCTCTCCTTCTCCCCTCTCCCTCTCCCTCTCCTTCTCCCTCTCCCTCTCCTTCTCCCTCTCCCCCTCCTCTCCCTCTCCCTCTCCCCCTCCCTCTCATACACACACACGCACACATGTGGTGTTATGGTATCCGTTAAGTGTCTGTGTGGCATGGCTGTTATGGGACTAATTAGTGATTGTGAGTTTATTTTCATGTTTTTCTATCTTTTTAAGTGAGATTAGATTAAAAGATGAAAAGAAAAAAAAAACGGGAGAAATATTTCAGGGGGGAAGAGAGTTTTTTTTTTTGTCTAATTGGATCACTGATTCCTGAAATACTATCCATTCCTTCTGCCCTAGTCGCTTCTTTCTTTCTTTCTCCTGCATCTCTTTCTCCTTTTCCCTCTCTCACTCCCTCTCTCCCTCCTTCCCTCGCCTCCTCTCCATCCCTCCCTCCTTCGCCACTTGTCCCTCCTTTGCCCCCTCTCTCCCTCCCTCCCTTACCCCCTCTCCGTCTCCATCCCTCCCTCCCTCCCCTCTCCCTCTCCATCCATCCCTCCCTCCCTCTCCATCCCTCCCCTCCCTCCCTCTCCCCCTCTCCTTCTCCCTCCCTCCCTCGCCCCCTCTCCATCCTTCTCTCCCTCCCTCTCTCGCCACCCCCCCCTCTCCCCCTCTCTTCACTGAGACGTATCTCCTCAAGCTCAAAATCTTAATTACACCTCAGAAAAAGTCATGTGTCATCGCCCCCCCCCCTTTCTCTCTCTCTCCATCCTCTCTCTCTTTCTCTCGTCCTCCTCCTCTCTCTCTCTCTCTCTCTCTCTCTCTCTCTCTCTCTCTCTCTCCTCTCTCTCTCTCTCTCTCTCTCTCCATTTCCCTCTCCCTCTCCCTCCCTCCCTCCCGCCCTCTCCCTCTCCCTCCCTCCCTCCCGCCCTCTCCCTCTCCATCCCTCCTTCCCTCCCTCCCTCCCTCCCTCCCTCCCTCCCGCCCTCTCCCTCTCCATCCCTCCTTCCCTCCCTCCCTCCCTCCCTCCCTCCCTCCCTCCCTTCCTCCCTCCCTCTCTCCCTCCCTCTCCCTCTCCCTCTCCCTCCTCCTCGATTTCCCTCTCCCACGAAAGCTGATTCACACGAATGGAGACAAAGCGACCTATAATGCAATTAAATCAAGAAACTTTTTTTTTATTTTCCTCTTGTTCCGTCGTCTTCCAAAGCGAGACCCGTGTCCAAAAGACGTATTTTTT